AATGCGTAGCCTTGAGTTGGGGACACCCAGCTCAGCCACTAACAGAAGGCAGCTTTATTCGAGTATTCGGCTCTCCACCGAAGTGTCCTATTTAGACGATGTGGCTTAATCACATTGGTGATCCATCTACCCACTCTAAGAGAGGGGTCTGTTCGAGCCTTCGAAAAGTTGAAGTGCTCCACGTTCTTAAGAAAATCATTGTGGTCTGTACATTCACAGCCAATTTCGCATCGTCTTTAACTCTTCACTGAATGGCCAGTTTCCGATAGGTTGATGAATAATTATTGCGAATTTTTTCGCGGCTTCTTTTCTCACGATATTGTTTGAATATTGAATTCGGGATTTGATAGAAATAATCTCCATGCTTTCCTTAAGAGAAATATATCTAGAAAGTCATGTTCATATACGCTCTATGCTCTATCACTCCGAGAAAGGTTGGAAAGTGGTACGGTCATAAAGTGATCTCGATGAACTTCTCGGCGATGGAATAGACAGTCAAAGCCGAACAGGAAATGGAATAGGCTTCTACGTTTGCTCTGTTCACCAATAGAATTTCCTATGGATTATCACGTTGATCGCCCGTTGAAAAATTGGCCAGCGAACAGAACTTTCGGCGAAATGGATGACTTGATGGCCGTCGTCAAGGAATGGATCGCCTCCAAGAATCGAAATTCCTTTGCCCGTAGAATCCGACTGCCTAGTAAATGGGAAGCAGTGCTTGACGTAGATGATGGTTATGTCCCGAAACAATCATTCGAGCATGTCTTTGTTAGATATTTCTTTCGTTTCTTCAAGCAAAATTTGCTGAAATATCCGCATTAATTATGCAACAACCTAATTTATATTATTGATGCAACTATTCTCGGCTCCTTCAACTTTTTGACGAGGTGGCTTAGAAGCGAATGTTCCTCAAAGTTCACTTTTTCTTCTCTGCTTGGTAAAGTTCCCGACATCCCGTCCCATCTAAGTCTTGCCCAATATCGATCCTGCTGCTGTTGTACAACTAAGAGCTTCTATGAGGTTTGGATAAGAAACAGGCGTGCAGTGAAACACATGTTTCCGGTAAAAAAGTGAAAAATCACCTTGTTACTTGTGTGTGGAAGGTATCTGATCGAATACTTTTGACTACTGAGGATGACATTCACAGACCTGGGCTTTGACTGGCATCAGTTCTCCCTGCTATTCTTAACTTTGTCTACATTAAGAGCACACTTGTATTTGTACTTTTAAGATTGTTGAGAAAACTATCGGTGAAAGTATCAGATTCTAACCTGCATCATCACTTACCAGCTTGAAATAGTAGCTGGACCAGTTCTGCAACATCAAAAGCTGCATTGCGTAGTTTTTGACGTCGCAGTTTTTGACCGTGTTAGGTGGTGTTTGTAAGTTGGAACAGGGGTCACACGAGTACCTCCTACATAGTAAACGACAACCAAGTGAGTAACTTTTGGCAGTGAGAGGGAGTCCAACTAGGACAAGCTGGTACTTTTGGTTGAACACGGCAATTAAACCGCCACAAACCCCAGTCCATCTGTTGAATTACTTTGAAACAAATCAAAAGGACAGCCCGTCTTCAGTTATTAGTCCTGTCTACACTTTGCTACTACTAACCTCTTCACTTGATATTTTGTGCACCGCTTCACCTCTCCCAAGGAAATAAGCTCAGTTCAGGGCGATTAATTCTGGTTTGCTTTTGGGTTTGAAGAGGCAGTGTGTTTGAACTGTGATTTGAGAAGGGGTAGAATTCGGAAATTCTCCAACCCCTCATCATTTTGAGCACACGTAAGCCAATAGGACTTTTCGGTGAAAGAAATGAGATCTTAGCATAGTGCGTTAGGCTTTTTTGGTAACGGCAAAAGGTGGATGTACTGTTGGATCTATTGCGCTCCATTTTCATCGTCCCATAGGAACTCACGGTTCAATTTTCAAAAGAAAGGTAGCGACTAGGAAAAACTATCCTAATTTTTTAAGAAGTAACTATGGGCCCAGCGGCTGCACAGCGCCCCTTTGAAATGTGCCCGGAAACTCCATCTCCCGGAACTAGCACGAAAAATCTGCGTAGAAGTGTGATTTGGGTGGTTTCGTCTGACCATATGCTTTGTACTGTTTTTAGGACAATGCAAGAATACAGGTTTATGCTGCGAAGGAAATGCCACATGTACCACACAAGGGACTAGTATTCGTTAGATCTCGCCACCATTATGTCTCCTTGCCCACCCACTCGCTGTCCCCTCAACTCCGACATGGCCGTCGATCACAACTTGAATGTTTTTTCGGGAAAATCAGCGCGTAATTCTACATTGTACCGATGGGGCCCATACAGAGAGAGGTGCTGATGTGAATGTGCACGTGCGAGTGGGATGTGATGACTGGCAGAGAGGAGGAATTTGTTGTGTAATGTATCTCTAGGCGGCGGTGTCCATCGATCTTCAAGCTCTCTTATGCCAGGCCGGCAATCCGATTCGTCTCTCAACCAATAGTTATCAGCCAGAAAAACTTGGCCGGGCTGGCTTGGCTGCATCCACTAACTTTTCTTCCGACGGGAAACACTCTCACTCTTTGGCGCTGATCAACTTGCTCATTATTTCTGATCATTGAGGATTGATTCGCCGCCAGGTGGGTGTCTGTAGTCGATAAATTTCTCTGGGAGAGAAATTTAACCTTAGAAGCATTCCCTCCTTGGTTCTATCGCTCACCCGTCGCTGTGATCGCTTCCTTCCGAAGTTTTTCCTCTTGTCCTTCGTGCTAATATTTATTCTCACTTTTGTTTACGTGCAAGAAAAATATTGTCTTTTCCCGTTGTTTTTTGTCACCGTTTTTGTATTCTGACATTTTTCATCGTAATTTCTTTTTTATTCGACTTTCAGTCGTTCACTACCCTCACTTGCTGAGGCGTCGTTTTGTCCATAACGTTATCGACCACTTTCTATTGAGCCGGATTGATAACCGTTTTACGAGAGAAATCTTTGTTGAGCGATGTGATGGGTGATTGATGGCATGTTTACCTTGAGAATGATTCGCTTCACACTTCAGTCATTTGTTGTTTTTTACCATTTGCCATACCATTTTACCAGCTTCGGTTCAAGGCATAGCTCAGGTTTACGACCTAACAGTTGATGGCCAAAAACAAAAGGCTAGTCACGTTTGTGGCGGTAACAGCTTCATGTGGTCCATGTAGAAGGTCATCCCTAGTACTGCGCTACATCACGTCGCTAAAGAGCTGTCTTTGAGTGGCCTGACTGCCTCTCCAATACCTCTGTGACGTCGTCCAGCTGAAGAATGACTAGCTTTTTCCGATGCCATCGCGACAATAGTTTGTGTGTATGATTGATTGCGGCGGGTCAGGGGTGCGAATCCGTCAGAGTGGTTTCACTCGGCATGTCAACGTGGCTCTACTGGCTCAGCTCGTGTTCACCTCACTGTCATTAGTCTATTATCTGAACTACCTTTCCTTACAGAATGAGCTGATCGGAGCAGTCGTGTCCGGTGCCTGTGCTGTCCTCTCCAACTGCGCGCCCACACCTTCCGATCACATAAATTAGGTGAGGATAGGAAGTGAAATGAGACTGAGACTTACTTAACCGCTCAGCCAACAAGCCTCACTTCAGCTTTCAAAAAGACGCTACATACTAAGAAAGCTTTTAGTGCTCACAGTGAAAATGTGATACCTTGAAGTTATCGTCCTTACTATAGGTTACCTCAGAAAATTCTGATCTTCATTTAAGAGCGAAAAAANAAAAAATCCAAGGTCACATTTTCAAGTGGCTCTCACATCGTTCACGAGTAAAAATTAAGGAGAGAAACTGCCATGCTGTGGCTTAAAGGGACGTCCACTCATGTAATGCAAAGAATGCAAACATTGCATGGAGACAGTCTTCCCAATCGTTCCGATTGATCATTCGAAGAAAAATCGTCTTCATATTTCATGTATATGCTTTATGTATTTTATTTTTCACAGTGGTCTTCATTTTTTAAGATTTTTATTTTGACCCCGGCAATTTTTAAAAATGAATCTCTTTGATTGCAAGGACGCCAACACTGTAGAATCGATCCCGCTGAAAACAGCGGTAGCCTTGGACCACTTCCATGAGGTGATAGAGTTAACCATGATAGTCGGCGAAAGTAAATTGTGGACCAACGCTTGGCATTCCCATTATCTTCATTCAAAGCTGCTCGAATATTAGACTGTTCCCGGGAATAATTCTCCCAATAGAGCCCACAACTTTTCGAAACTCTTCTATCCCAGCCTTTGCACACAGTTCATTGAAATATTCGGTAGCTTGCTGACCACTTCCGTACGTCACGGATACTAATGAGCTTTATGCACACCTCCATAGCCTTTGAACGGTTATTCTCATTTCCAGGCTATCAATACGCAATTTGGAGAGTGAAAATCATAAATTACTAATGGTCATATCTGTGCATAGAGTTCCTTTGCAGCAGTTGCGAGAAGTAATCTTTACTTGAATCATAGCCCAGCGGCCGTATGTCATTTCCATGACACTCAGCAGTTCGGTGGTAGAAGAGCTGAAAAGCGCTAAATGGCGCACTAATGCAATAAACCATTGCATTCTCGCCCGTGATCTTACTCGCAGCTACTCAGTCGTTATCCTCATTGTGGGAACAGATTTTTTCAGGGTTGAAAGGCACTCCGACAATGAAATTTGTATTTTGAGGCAACGTTCCTCTATCTGGCGGTAGCGGTGACAGCGGAAACGCGTCCAGCATTAAGCTTCGTTCCACGAGAATTTTCTCTTTTGCTGGACAGGCCAAGCGTGAACGAACTGATTCATGTGGGAACTTTCACATAACGGACCATAACCTTGTCGAAGTTCTTGTGACAAAACCCTTGGGGAAGGCCCTTCAGGAACTGGTCGGAGCAAGCGACAAAGCCTATTCGAAGATTGCTTTCAATCACTCTTACTTCAACTGGCGACCAACATGAAAACGATGAATAGGAATTCACTTTCACATGATATTTTATGCCATTATATGCCTGAATGGTTTCTGAGAATGTGCGTGGCCAGTATGTTGATTCAATTTGAATCCCTTTCCTTAACAGTCGTAATGTTTCATTTCCTCCGGCGGTCTAAGGAAGGATAGAAGCAGGCAATTGACATGGGCGATGCTTCATGATCATAACTTTGATTTTTTCGAGTTTCTTCCTTTTAGCATAAGCGACATCTTTCGAACTTGAACGACCACTGCCTAGGAAAAGTTCCCTCTACATAACAACAGATGCAATTTCTAATATCAATTACAATTTCAACTCATAGTTTCTCAGCAGAACACTCTTCAACACCCAGAGATAAAGGGCAAAGTATTTGGCATGAATCGGTCCCATTTCTGAAACGCTTCTCCGCTATCGGTTAAATGGGCTTGCATTCAGAATCGTAGCATCCCATGAATGCGTAAGGGGCCTACACAATGACTTGCGGTGGCCAGTCAATGAACATAGCCCTTTTATCCGTCCAGAAGAGTTTGTACCAATTAACTGACCTAAAAAGATGGAGGTCTTGGTTTTTTTGGGCGAGTATCGATCCGGAATTCGATAGCAGGATCATACGTGAGCAATAGTTTGCCATTGCTTCCAGAATTATACAAATAATATGAAACTAAAGCTCATTTCTGTGAACAGAGACAAAATTGGCCTTTGGGCGACAAATACTTTTTGATAATTGCAATTCGCTGTTTATTAGTTCTAAGCCCATGGCTTATTCAATGTACATTGAAACGTTCATAGAAGATTAGTAAGACTTTTTCGAGGATGCGCTGAAGCGCTTGCTGGCTGAGTAGAGTGTAACAGAGGGAGCATGTTCTTGAGAACCTCATTAAAATGCTGTCAAGGTTGTGTTTGGTCCAGCAGTTGGCTCCACTAATTGGCCCATAGAGTGCTGAGAGAAAAATCTTGAACAGTCGTTTGCTGTTTTCAGGTCAATGGGTGAATTTGGGAGGAGGACTATACCATATTACAGACCAATATCCATGGGACAGAGAGCCGCTAAGCACAACATGCAGGTCAGCTTTTTTACGTTCAATTTGTAAGTATAACAAGAGAAATGTACTTCTACTGGGTATGAGTTGCTGTATCGGAATTCCATACTGCAGAAATACTATAATGATCATATTGATGAGAAATCACTATTCGTGGACATCTCTGGTACACACTTCCAAGCTACTTTCCCGTCGCATAGTGGCAGTATGTAGTTGTCATTTCGAAGTCATTACAGGAAACTCTGCTTGCTTGAGCTATAAGAATCCCAGAAACTTCTGTTTGATCGTTATACTTCGCCTTTGACATGGCCTATGATTGTCGTTGGCTGAGCTCACAGTTCACATTATTTAATGTAGTTCCAGTGGTAGAAAATATAGAGGACAGATATTTGATCGATACTCGAGCAATCCACAATAATTCACCGATAAATACTAAGTTTATTAGGAGCTTGCTTCGCAGACCTCCAACTTTGGTAATTAAACTCGATTAATACGAACGACAAAGAAAATACCTACCACAATTAAAAGAAAAGGTAAGAAAAGTGCCATGCCGATGTCTTCTGCGTCCACCTTTTATATCCCCATTTGGCGCGTGATCAGTGGATCACATTCCCATCAGTTCCTTGTAGATCTTGACGATGTTGTCGTCATTATTAACCTGTCTGAAATCCTTTTTGTTTGTAAGGCGATAAAGCCTCGAACAAATCATTCGAACATCGATTCACTATAAAAACGAAATGTTGATATCCATCTTGATGCTTTCGCAGAGCAGTGGCAGTGGGTAGCCTTGGTCGTAGCACTCTTATTACCGACCAATTTATACTCAGATCCTTTTTTTTTGAGCAGTTGAAGATAACGCTTGTAGAAGCGGAAAGGTTGGAGGGAGATCGTAAATGAACGGAAGAGCGAGAAAATTCTTCACCATAAATGTTAAGAGCAGGGAGGCCAGTGAATTTTGAGAAATGACACAATAAACTCCAAAACACAACGGACCTTCCACCGGTAAGAAGGAGAACGTACTTCTTCAAAACACAAACTAGAAAAGTGATGTGGTGTTCTGTTGTGGAGAATTTGCTTTCTTAACTGTTCTCCGTTAAATCACAAATGTTCCCTCCCTCATGTTATGTAAAAGTAAACAATGTTATTTACTCCTTTGAAAAAAATTGAGGTTTTTGTGATGATTGGAGTCCTCTCAGACTTCAAGGCTTAGTCGTTGTCTATGTTTTCTTCAACTTCCCTTGACGAATTTCCTTGCTTGACGGTTGGCACATCCTGAGGTTCCAGTAGGTCACAAGATGTTTTTCAGTCAACTATAGTAACGGCCTAAGTTCAGCATTTGAAGGGGTTAAGGGGGAATTCGCTGATAGTAGCGTCTCATTAACATTCAAATTATCCGTGATTATTATCTCCGTTTCAGGCGGGCGTACGACTTTATCACCAACGACACCATGCGCAGGCGATTCATAAATGGAGGCATGCCCTCAATCGGTTGACGTCAGTTGTATTTGTTTCTTTTTTTCTTGAAATTAAGCTTAAAATGGCAGCCCTTTACTGCACTTGCATAATTTTTTTTCACTGAAAAAAGAACTGCGGGAACCCATCCATGGCTAATGGAAGGGTAAATGCTGCTGTTCCCTCGTAGATTTAGCTGAGCTCAAAAGTTGAACAAAGGAATTGCCTCACCCTCGTAAAAGCTCTGGCACGTCCCTATCGATTTCTACAACTGCCGCCATGGAGTGGAACGAGCAGAAAAAGGAACAAAACCGCTCCTGTCCGACGATTTTTGTCTCTTCCCACAGCTCCTCCAATTTCACGGGAAGGCGTGATTTTTACAGCTCCCGAGGGTTTCTCGATACTTTCTTCGCGATGGCAAAGCAGTGAATGTCACTGAAATGTGAACAGCTTCCCATCTCCAGCATGGAAACATCTTTGCTTTGATTATCCCCCTGACCAGAAGCAAACCGAATGACCTACAGCTCAAGAAATGGCTCATATCAATGACACTATTTGTAGGAGCTGAAACTGTTGTGGCCAAAGCAAGACTTCCATACTCATATTACACACCACCTAAGTAGGCTACAGTGCAAAGGCCAAATTCAAAAGAAACCTGTCCATTTAAAGATTTCTATGTGGGATGAAAGAATGCTTTAAATCTGTTATTCAATTCTTTATGATTTTTATGAATGAATTTATGAATCTGATAAATGGCTGCTGAGGGAACAACTGCGCGGTTTTATGATAGATTCTTTTTACATAAGTATGAGAAGGCTTGCAATCTCTTTACTGCCACCTCTACAAACTTCCCAAAGCAGGTCCACCCTTAATCTCATCGTTCCTATTCTCTACAAGAAACGCGAGACCTGAGAAGCACCTCTTACATGCTTTGAATCTTCCTTCCTCTCAGACCAAAACAACAGTTCAAAAGAGTTAACGAAAAAAGCTCGGTGACTTTTTAGATTTGTGCGAGTGAAAATAGATGTTAAAACCTCCTTTTCAAACAGTGTGTAGGCTTCACTTTCTAAAAATTTCAGAAATGCTGAAGATCGCTTCATCACACTTGGCTATCTCGCTCAGGCGTACTGTGATAGCGGCGAATTCGAAGCGATGCTTCACTATGCCTTACAGCAGATGGAACTCGCCAACGAACGCCACGACGAGTACATGAAGAGCGAGGCTTTCCTTAATCTTGCCAAGGCCTATGAACGATTAGCTGATTTTAGCAAAGTGAGTTGTTTTCATTGTTACGTGATCATTAGTGTATAAATAATAAAACCAGACGGGTCGCTCGGCTTACGCCGCCCCATTCCCCTCTTTAAAGAGTAGTTAGAAAATGATGTAGTTACAGATAGTGGGAAGGGGGAGGGCTCCGCTTTTATTCAACAATGAGGACCTTAGTGCGAAGAAGATGGATAGCCGACTTAAAGCTAGGATGGGGTGTGAGTCGAATATCCAATTAACACACTCGCCCCGGTGCTCCTTCCTTCCTGGAGCTCAGGTCAAAAAAGCTGTATGATCTCGGCTAACCATGAGAAACGTTCCTGAGCACAATCATGGGCTGACGTCCTTATCTGCTCTCTAGCGCTCGATGTCGAAAAAAAAGCGTAGTTCACTCATCTACATTATCACCCCCTATTTTTGTGTAGTCATACATAGCACGATGCCAGATATAAATCACAGTTTTGAAGTACCTACTTGATTCCAACTTACTCACTTCACTCCGAAGCACTCGCTCCATTCCATTAACGTAGCCACCAATTTACTGCTTTTCATATAAGAAGGAAATGATGGGCAGACCTGGATTTTCCATATCACTACCTTTATCGTAATCATCGCGTTTTGCGGACAGACAGATCGACGAACCGACACAACAAGTTACTGCTTTCCCCAGAGCGATCTCACTTCATTATGCTGACTTTGTCCATTCACATAACTGTTTTTGATTTTTCCTCAATGCTTCGTTCCATCGGATCAGAGGAGGAAAAGGGCTGCTCACTTTGCGAGCCTGTTCAACCGTGACCTTTTTACGTGCTCATTGTGATGCTGGTGGGTATGAGTTTCTTGAAGCCGCATATCCGTTTCCTGTTCCCTCCCTGACCCCTCCCCCGTTCAGAGTACTCGGAGAAAAGTGTACTCACACGTTTCCAAAAAGTATTCGGGTAGGGAATGCGTAACAGGAACAATCTCCTCTCTATGTTCTTTGGTGGCATTCATTAGCGATGAACAGTTAATAACTAATGTCAGCAGAAAAGTGAAAAGAAAGTTAAGATGTCCAGTACCGCTAGTGCTATATTCAGTGTTAGTGATGGGTATCATTTTGCTTTAATTGTAAGAGGGGTGAAAGGAAGTCAGGGCGTCGCCGTAGATCCCCCTCATATCACACTGGATCCAAAAAAGGAAGCCTCCGACGGTTGAAAGATTGACTGTCCTAATGTGCTCTACGGAGGGTAGTAGTGGAACCAGAAGTGGTTATCATCTTTTTTTTACAACCCCCAGTTGAAGCTTAGCGCTAGAATGCTCTTCATTTCGAATGGAAGTCGGATGAGTGTAAATCCCAAAAGTAAACTGCCAGCAACACATCCAATTCCAAACTGGTTAAGGCACTGAGCTATGGTAAGGCCAGTCTTCAGCATCCAAGCATGGATCCTCGCACTCCTGGATATGCTCATCTAGGTGGGTCGCACAGTAATTCTCAGATTTGCAACTTGCACTTATCAGTGTTTACTTTTTCAGCGATCGCTTGTGCACACCTCGGTTTCAGTCAGTTCCAAAACTGCCTAGAAGCGTTTGAGCAGGCCATGAACGTGGCAAACGAGACCGGAGATAAACTGCTCGAGTTGCAGATCTGCGTTGGTCTCGGTTCTCTCTTCACTTTGTTGCGGTGAGCATTGGCATCCTTTCGTTTCTTTTTGCCAACTATGCCGTCCTTCCAGAGATCTATCGAAAGCGCTGATTTTTTTGCGGAACGCTATGGCCATAATTCAATCGGTCACCGTCGACGACGTGCACACGAAATATCGGTAAGACTTTCCTACATCATTTATTTCCCACTCATCAGATCGGATGTGAAGAGAGCCCTTAAGTGCAAAACGAAAGGCCGACAGCCGCAACAACAGACACATAAAAACACTTCTAATTAGTCATTTTGATTGAGAACAAGTGTTGTACCGAACAGGCCCGGAGATTAGTTAGAATCAGTCATGAGGAATTGAAGGCACTTTCAGATGTACGATACTTTATCATTTATCGGTCGCTCTGCGGATGAGAGGATCTCTAGTGGAGGCGAAAGAAGCCTGTGATGTAAGTTTCGCTCCGCCCAGATGCATAATGCCTCCAGAAAGGCTTGACTATTCAGGAAGCCTTACAGCTAGCATCCGAAACGGGTAATCGAGCACTGCATGCTAGGTGCATGTGTAGTCTAGCTGATATCTACAGGGAACTAGGGGAATCAGAAGCGAAGGAGACTCTAACGGTTAGTGGATTTGTCCATTCATGTACTCGTTTACTCTTGAGGTACTCAATAAGATAAGTGTTTGAGCTATTTGCTAATGAACAAAGTTTCGGCATTTCTTCAACGCGGCGCTACTTACTTCTTATACACCCTACTTGTAACAAGATCAGAGAAATATATCTTTCTTAGTTGTACTCACGAATGCCGCTCAGTGAGAATTTGCTTTAGATGAACAATCTAAGAAAACGATGGCTGCATGGCGTGACCGGTGGCGGCGGATAGGGAAATAAGTCGTGGGCCAAAGTCAGAGGTACTCGCCCAGAGAAGCAAGTAGATTCAAGGGATGGACCCTGGTTCTCCCGTGTTGAGTCAATTTAAACCTTCTGCTTCATCGCACATGGCAGTACGTTTCATAGGTGTAAGGTCATCCTCGTACCTTACAGGATAAACAACTGCGCCACATATCTTTCTGGCACCACCATTACATTTAATCACCTTGAATAACCCCCTTATATCTGCTTTGTTTTGCTTTTTAACATTTAAAAAGTTTACCTTCGATTTTTTGCCTTTTCATATGTATAGGATCACCCCCGACATCACGAAGGTCTCGAAAGCCAGCGCAGCGAGGTTTGCAGTTGGAGGGATCTGTATAGGAAGGAATATGTCGCAAATATGTTTTGATGAAATATGCGCTTTGCCTCGAGGAGGTCATCTTTCTTTGCAAGAAAAAGCGCAAAATCGAAACATTTGTGTCACAGGGTTCAATACGAGGGCAATTAGGGGAGAATCATGAGATCCCTCAGCCCCGTTAAAAGATATTAGAAGACTGCAGAGCCCCCACGAGAACAGGATACCCGCGCAATCTAACCAAGAACGACGAGGAGATTGCTAAGAGCTATTTCGAACAGAACCTTGTCGTTGAATCAGGTTCGATCGGAGTTGGGTCTCTCGGTGTCCAAAACTACTGAATGGAGAGCCGTGAAAAAGAGCAGCAGCACTGTCAGGGCAGCAATGAAGAGGGCTCTGAGGCTTACCGATCACCATAGAAAAACACTAATTGAATTTGCGAAGTTGAATTGGGAATGAGGACGAAGGTCAGCCTGTATTACCGATTAGTCGGTGATTACCGGGACGTCACTTGATACAAATGGAGTTGCCTTTCTCACCGTTGGCAAAGATCTGACGGTGACGTTTACCTTAAACTGCTGAACTGTCATCTNCTTATCAAGAACCACATAAAAGCTGCATCAGCATTTTGCATTACAGTTCAATAGTATTTTCTTTGTCTCTTGCTTTTTCTCGCGAATCTCCGCCACACATATGTGAGCATCTGGCCATGTACCGTACTCCAAGTCACGAAGTGTTTGACAGCTTGAATCGATCTGTCAAACCTATTCATCTGCACCTCTCCTTTCTTTATTCTCCCTTCAAGCGAGCGTACTACCATTCAGTGCAGCTGGCAGTCTCACTCATTTTCAATTAAAATGCCTAGGGAGTGGCCTACCACTGCGCTACTCACTTGTTCCCATCTCTCACCGCTAGGTTGATAATGTCCTCGAACTTCCTTGAAATAAATTATTTGCGTGGAGGTTTTGCAAAATTGCAAACTTGTAGCAATCTTTAGCATTAATACATTTTGTACGAGAACAGCGTACACAGTTCGAATATGCCGAGGAGATTAAGCGTAGAAGCATAGAATAATGTACCTATCGTTTAGAAATCATGGGCTCGATACGAGGAAGCGTATCGAGTACTGCGAGCATCACAGGACCGCATGGGTGAGGTGCTGGTGCTGGCGAGTATGGCGAAAAGTGCATCCGAGAGCCGGTCGCACTATACAGGACAGTGCGAATGTCAGGCAATTCAACTGAACAAGAAGTGCCTGGACATCGCCAGAATGCTCGGAAGCAAGGTTTGACTTATTGATCGAAATTTTCATTATAAAAACTACACTCTCCCACACCTTGAATGACACCTTCCCAAGCCCCTCATTCCAAAGTGTTTGCGTGAGCTCTTGAAAAACTTTTGCTTGCCTCGAACTATGAGCTAGAAAAAAATTACAGTTCAGGTAAGCGAGTATGATGTTTCGGATATCGGTTGAACCCAATAGTTTGATGTGGAAGGAGATTTGATCATTCACTTTATCAAGTTCGACATCGCTATTACAGTAGTGTGGTAATACGAGGTGAATATGACGTCGTAGGGAAAGTGGTCGAAAGGTTCAATCTGACAAAGGCTAATTCAGTGACCCCTTGTTTGTCCAGCAGCTAACCTCTACGAATTTTTTAAATGTCAACTTCAACAGAAATAATCCGAGAAGGCTCCGTTTTATTATGCTCTCTGGTGTCAAGGAACTCGTGATGTACTATCTTAAATTTTCAGCACGTCATGCTAAAGTGTCATTCCCGCCTCGCCGAGCTGTACTCACAGCTGAATGATGAGGATAGCGAGGAGGTTGCACGAAGAGCCGCCAGCCAACTCACTCAAGAAATGGAACTCTTCTGCAATTTTTGCGGACAAAGGTGACTCAATCCAATGATCTACCACTATTTATTGACAATGTCCTCATACCGTGGTATGCTACGTGTTTGCGACGAGAATTACAATGAGGATACATTCAAGAATTTACGATAACTTTGAGTACCTAGTTTTTGACGAATGATGGAAGTGCTAGGTCAGAGTAGTGCAAAAAAGGTGAAGAAATTGGCGTATTTGATGGAATACAGGGCAGGACTCCAAAAAAGAACAATAAAGTTAGGGATCAGGGAAGAATGTGATGACAGGAGTTGCATGAAAGCGGTATTTGGACGAGTTGTTCGAATGCGCATATCATCCCATACATACAGTTGGCTGCAGTAAGCTGCCTGCATGCACGGTGTGGGTCCTGGTGCGAATGGTGCAACTTCACAGCTTTAACAAGATCTCATTTATCTTGATTGTGTATGTTGTGAAGAACGTTTTTGTCGTTTCCGCGCACGAGCTATTTGAATTGAAGTTTTGGCAGCTGTCAAATTAGACCAATCGACATATTGTGCTCATTAGGTTAGCTTTAAGTTGCTCTTTCTATCAGAGCACTTTTCTCAAAACCGCGTAACGCTTTTGGAATCTTTAAGAAATTTTTCTCGGGATGTAGAAGGACGCTTTTGGAATGGTTCTACTCAATGTGTTCAGGCCCGATCTAACTACGAAGAAGGCAGTCATAAACATCAACGTTGCATGGGGCACGGACACTGCATTGGGACGAAATGCATCCTCTTTGGTTTCATGGGTTTAAAAATGGTGACGAGCAACTGGAAAGCCAATAGCGAGTTGATCGTCCATCGTTGGTTGATCACGATGCTTCGCTAAGAGCAGTTGCAGAAGATCGACGCCAACCTTTGATACAGATTGCCAAGTATATGGGGGTTTCATTTACAGCCGTAGTTGACCACCTCAAGTACTTGAGTGTTAAAGAAATTGGACAAGTTGATCGCACACCAGCGCACAGAGCAGCAGCAAATGAAGCGCTTAGAAATTTCAAGTTCTTTGTTAAGAAGAAATGATATTGAGCCATTCCTTTGTCGTATTGTAACGTTTGATGAAAAATGGGTCGTATATGACAACAGGAAACGTACTGTCAGATGTAGATGAGCCTCCAAAAACTTTTCCCAAGGCAATCTCATAAGTCAAGAAGACAATGATTGCAGTTTGGTGGTCTAGCCATGGATTAATCCACTACTCGTTACATCGGCCGATCAAATCATTACCGCATGGTCCTACTGTGATCAAATTCACGAGATGTACACTCAACTAAAGCGAATGCAGCCAACATCAGTGAATCGCCTGCTTTTGCACGACGGTGGCCAACCGCATGTGCCACAAATCGTCTTCCAGGAATTGAACGAACTACGGATCGAATCTCTCCTTAATTCACCTTACTCGTCGGACCTTCCACCAACTGACTTCCATTCGTTCGAAGATTTGGACAAGAAAATCGACACAGCGTGGATGCTGTTCTTCTCAAATTCTTGGAATCCAGATCGCCAGGCTTTTATAGGATTGGAAAAAGGAAATTTATACGCTTGGTGAAGGTATGTAGAATCGACTGGGACTTACTTCAAATAAAATGTTCACTTCGGGATGAGTTATGATTTTTTAAAAATTAGCTGTTAAAACGGCAAGCACTTTCCTTACAACATAATACGTTGTCGAAGCCAATTCTATGGCCTTTATTACGCCCTGTTCCATAGTTTTCGATCGAACCGACAGCGTTTTTTGTGCTATATTCAGAAATCGCAGGTTCGTGACAAAGAGCAATTTCAGGAATCATTTTCATCGTGAACCGTGCCTTTAATGCTCCCTGTTCAGGTACGGTATGAAAGACGAGAGCCTCCAAGCGCTGAGATGTTCGCACGTGTTTCACGAACGGTGAGTCTCCGATTGGATATGACCTCAAAATGAAATTGGAATTGAAATAGCAGGTGTCTTCACACATTCCTTCTCGAACGGGAGGACCAGACATGCCCGAAATGTCGCTGCCGAGCCGTCCTCTCCGATAACATTTCCATGAGAACGCCAAGCATTTGCTCCACGGTTGATGCACAAACGCCCAGTAGTTAGTTGTCATTTTCAAAATCATTACGAAAGTCGAGTAGGAGTCTTCATTCAGTGTAGTATAGCTCATGGCTTTGGTCAGCTGAAGGATCCCTCCCGCAAAGCTCAACACTCTCTTCCCATCCAATTTCCCCACTACACAAAATCCAGGGTACATCAGAATTGGCATAGAAGACGGGATGGGTTAAATAGCTTCTGAAGCAGCAAGGATCATTCAAGCAGAGACTCTCTTCCAAGTCTATAGCTGAAGAGCGTCTCTGGACTATATGGAAGCTTAGAAAAATGCATTAAAATGCTGAGTGTACTTTTAGTACCCTCAATCCTTCATGAACCACTTTCAAATTTGAAGTTACTACCTCTCACCCACATCACAACCACTCAGTCGTTTGCAGCCTGTACTGATCATAGAATTGATGATAATGGCGAGCATGGAAGCAGTCCAATTACAGACGTAGGCAACAGCGTATCAGTTGTCAGATATGAGGGTAGGTTCACCCTCACACCGCTATGTGCCAACCTCAACCAGAGTCGAAGTGGTGCTTGACCTATACAATTTATCGTGAAGAACTGCCGATGTTTTATCCTGTGCTCTCTACGTTTATTGGAACGTTTGAGAACTATCTGCCAAGAATCGGGCGTTACCCTAGATTTTTTTGAAACGTTCTGAAGGTTTTTATGAAATTGCTTCGCAATGACACAACCATTTATGTGAACACAGCATACCCGGCTCCCTCTTACTTATTACTGAAGGCTCTGATGACCGAATTATCTTCCCATTTTCACCCTACCTTCTGAGCAGACTCGAATCCTGCCACTCCCCTGTTGACACACATCGAAACTTGTGTCGCATGTTTGGACTCGAGACCACTGTTAGCCGGTTGTGGAACACCTTATTCTAACGCTTTAAAGCCGAAACAATAGGTCCGACCTGGTGAAGAGACTATATAGGACATCATGAATTTTGAGCTTTGTTATGCGCATACAACTGAGTGAGAAATGTTCTATCTTAGTGCTTCTAGGGCTTCTATGAGAACTCCCAGAACGTTCCAGAAAGACAACTAGGTTGCGGAGTTTTCGGCAGATATTTTCCGAATATCCTCACGAAAGTGATGACCTCTAGTACCCAGGCCTACAGACGCTGAAGTTTAGGCCGTCAAAATTGCATGAGTTTACTATGCTATCTCTTGCATAACCTAAGTTGCTGAATTAGCAGTTCTTCAGCAGAATAGGAGAGGTTATGATTGCACTACAACACAAAACGCTGTTAAGCTCCAGCTTACAGTGGAGAAATACACGTCTATGTAATGATCTATTCCGAATGAGCACTATTTTTTAAATAGCAAGTGCCCAACTTTCGAGCATCTTCTTTACAGTAAACACCCCAGCTGGCACTGGGCTTTCCGTATAACTCTCCTTTTCGTAGTCGCGAAAATCCAATGGGCAGACAAATCTGCATGCCGTGAGCAACAAACCGAAAAAGGGCGCACGGAGTTGTGGGACTATAAGTATTCAAGGAGGATACGGATGGCTTTGTAGACCTGCTCGTAGCTATATATTGGATTCGTCGAAGAGCTGACAGTATGACACGTCGCCCATTCCTGCCAGCTTCATGGTGAAGGAAATGTTGAACTTGCGCGAAACTCTTCACAAGCTTACGGCTTCGACAAACTCGACGCTGTATTGTTGACACTGCTTCCATAGCCTGCCCTTACCTTTTCGGTAAGGCTTTCCGCCCATGATACGGAAACCTCGAAAGATTCGTCTCGGTTCTTACGATTCACTCCGTCCTTCCTCCTTCTGTAAAGGATCTACTTATGAGGTTTTCTAACTACGAGCGTTGGTCCGTAGCATAACTGAAAGGGAACTGGCCCTAAGGCAATTGAATCTAAGAGCAGTAGTCTTACTAGTACGGAGGTGGTGACCGCATCGTGAAAATTAATGTCCTACGGGTCATGCCCCGCTACAGCACGCAGCACCAGCGGAGCGACTTGAGTTTGCTCCCAACTTGCTTTATGTGATCACAACAGTTATTACTTTTTGTGAAACCTGCACATCGTATAATTGGACTCTTGGGAGGTCTTTTTGAGCTTCGCTTTGATATGATCTGTTTTACTGAAACCATATTCAGAAACATCGAGTTACTACTTAGACCACGTAGAATACTGATTAAGGAAGGGAAATCGGTTGCTTCTTGTCTTTAGCTTTGAACAACCCCAAACGGGAAGCTATATCGGAATAGAAAAAAAGGCTTTCATGTTTTGGAAAGGTTCGTAAGAGGGAAAGCGAATGAAACTGCTCTCATCGAAGGAGACGTTCTTCAGAAGCGCTGCTCATACATGATGACTTTCTTCGGATTTTTTCGCAAAATCGTGTAGATCCCTATGTAGCTTAGTATCTAGGGTGAGGTGATATATGCACTGCCAATAGGCGAATAATCACGTGCTCAGCCCGGGGATTGAATCCTGGACTGGTATCAACCCAGGTCAACCAATCCTCAAATTCCTCCCATACAGGATACTTGTTCGGGATTCGTCTGCCGAGATAAAAGCACTATTCGTTCATCGACTACCCATCGCAATTCATTGTGTAGGACACATACGCATTCAAAGGGCCGCCACTGCTCTGTGAGTCGAATGCGATGCGCATCCCAAAATGGAATCGGTCAGCTCCGGTAAAATTTACCCTTTATTATTCATACACTACACTGTAAAATAAAATTCTAACAATCAGTCATGGTGGGTACTAAATTTGGCAAGTGAGGTAAGATGTGGGGCAAGGGTTTTCCTTCTGACAATGAGTGATTGTTGTTAGTCACCACTGGCCTTATTCGTCAGATGACTGAATCCGAGCAGGTTCAGTTGCAGGATTGATTTGAATATTTCCTTTTCTGATAGTTATTTTGTTATTGCTTCATTTTCTCAGACGCTTTGAAGGCAACCCAACTATTTCCAGCTTCACAACTGCCACCCACCCTCTCCGGTGCAGTGCGGACTCCTTTGATTGCAGCAGCTGCTGAGCTTGGAGATACACGACCACAGTCTACGCTAAGCCGAGCAGTACCAAGGTAAGCTGAGAAAAACGTATTCCTCTACATTGGGTTCACACGCCTCATCGGAACCCACTCAGTGCTGATTGGCGAGTGTTTGAAATGTTTTCTCGCACTGAAGGCACAGTTCACGATAATAATGGTTTCTGAGATTCCCCCACAGGATGGATTTGAGGCCCCTGGGTATACCAAATCTGGCACAATTAGGTCGGAGAATCGCTCAGTTAGGGTGTCATAAAAGCTCAAAGATTGGCCAGTGTGCATCCTCTGACGAGTTTCACAGGCATTGTAGAGACTGCACCGATCACAAGGGAATCCATGTAGGAAGTTCAAACAACTTATCATGATCCGTAGCGACAGTGAAAGACAGTTCTGCACAGTTCTGGCTTATGTAGTCAGCTCTTTGTGCAATTGCAATAACTGAAATCTCGTCCGAATACCTCTTCCATGTTATTTTCGACACGGCAATCTCGTCCAAGCTCTACTTTCCCTACTTTTGAGGAGCCATATTTTTCTAGAAATCGGCGAATTCTTTCGCTTCCTTCACTACCGATGAACTATTCCCAATCTATGCTTCCGCTTTTTGAATAAAAACGGGCACCTCAAAATTATCGTGAACTGTGCCTTTAATGCAGGAGTGGCTACTTACATATTGATCTGGCTCAGGAAGTAGCCAAGAAGATGCAGCCAAGAAAAAGACCGATGGAAACATAGTTAGGGGAGGCGCTACACATTTTCACGTCCTTTCCTGCCTTCTCTCAGGGATCCTATCCCACTGAGCAATTTCTCTTCCATTCCACCTTTTTGTGCGAGGTTAGCATCGTACTCATCGCTGCGAGTTTGAAAATAGCCGCTCTATACATCTCTGCTCTCCAGGCTTGAGCGATAGTACGCAACTTTTCTTACCGCATTTTCCTAGCTTCAAGGCAACCCCATAACTCCCATTGTATGGTTGAATTAGGATATCCCGAAATGGTGAACAATACTCTTAAAAGTGAGATTGCGGAGGGGAAAAGTTCCTAGGTGAACTAGCTTTCTCTCTGACAAATGTAGCAGCTAAAACTGTAGTTAAAGGCACAGATCACCATAATTTTGAGGTGCCCGTTTTTATTCAAAAAGCGGAAGCATATATTGGGAATAGTTCATCGGTAGTGAAGGAAGCGAAAGAATTCGCCGATTTCTAGAAAAATATGGCTCCTCAAAAGTAGGGAAAGTAGAGCTTGGACGAGAGTGCCGTGACGAAAATAACATGGAAGAGGTATTCGGACGAGATTTCAGTTATTGCAATTGCACAAAGAGCTGACTACATAAGCCAGAACTGTGCAGAACTGTCTTTCACTGTCGCTACGGATCATGATAAGTTGTTTGAACTTCCTACATGGATTCCCTTGTGATCGGTGCAGCCTCTACAGTGCCGGTGGAACTCGTCCGAGGATACACACGGGCCAATCTTTCAGCGTTTANAACTCCCTAACTAGGCCGTTTTTCGACCTAATAGTGCCAGATATGGTATGCGTAGGAGCCTCAAATTCATCCCGTGCGGGAATCTCAGGAGCCATTTTTATCGTGAACTGTGCTTCTAAGTAAGAAAGTACATATAAGTTGATGATTTGATTCGGATTCATTGGGAGAAATTTTATCCAGATATGTTTTAAATCGCGCTCCTACCTATCTGAATTGCATGTTCAGGCAAGCGGAGAGAGACATCGACCGACTAGATCGAGCTCTCGACCGCATGGAGAGCAGGAATGATACAGGTACGCTGAAGAAGACTAAACCTCCACCACCGCCGCGGAAGCCGTGCTGCTCCAAGGTCAGTTCCCCTAACAACAAGGTCTTTTCAACAACTCCCGGCTTTATTTAGGATGGCTTACCCCCATCGTCCGTAGTGTCGTTACCGCCACCGATGCCACTGTCGGAGAGCGGGCCACTCGTCATCTCACGAGCGCCCACAATCACTGATGTCTAGAGTAGTAAGCATGAACACAGCCGTGAAGCTACCTTCTCTCAGACGAGTATCAGTGCTAAATTTCTCTGATCTTTATTTTCGTCTCTGACCAAATTGCACAAGTGTCTCCCTGAACCCGATGCAGCGATCACGTTTAGGCGAACATTGTTGTGATATGATATATCGAGTCACTGCCTTGTGCTCATCCCCGTGTTCCTCGCACTTTCATGCTCCCATCCTCCTCTACCTTGTCGTGTCGCTAAACTTCCCCCTTTTTCGAAGTCGAGTCATCGAATACGCTTTTTATCAATTGTGTAGCTCTCACCCCCTTTAGCTGCTCGTTGGCGCATCTCTTCTTTTTCACTTTTCTTTAAGAACTGTTAAGTGTTGATGCTCAGTTGTTTGTTTTTGTATACGGTCGGATCTTTGCCGTCTCACACGCTTAGGCATTGATGATGAGAACTCGAAGAACAAATCAATTGTTAACGAAACGTCTTGTTTGCTATAAGTCGTCTTAGAAAGGGCTTTTAAAAAACCTCAAAATATCAAAATTAACTGATTCTTTTCATATGTCATGATCTCAGCTTTCAATCTGCTAAATAAATTATTTATGGTTTTTCTTAGTATGAACTGCAGGGAACGAAATGTGGGTGGATTTTTAAAAGCCGTGGCACTGTCCCCAACGTGGTGCTGCCACTGACTCAAAGTAAGCCTGATCACTTATATCAGGGCCCACCGTGTGTATTCACTATGCCAAATAACAGGAACAAGGAAGATTGGAGCCCGAAGAAGCTCGGCAATGGAAGATAAGGTCTCATGAGAGAACTGCGGAAATCCCAAAATCACAACAAATCCATTCAAAGGCAGACTCCACGATAAAAATGGTCTCTATTTCCCCATAAGATGAATTCGAGGCTCCTCGTATACCATACCTGGCGCAAGTAGATCGGAAAACGGCCTAGTTAAGGAGGTAGAGAGGCTCAAAGATTGCACCGTGCGTATCCGCGGACGAGTTTCACCGGATACGATTCAAACATTCAAACAACTTGTCATTACCCTAGCGACAGTAAAAGGCAGTCTTGTTTATGTAGTTCAGGATTAGTGTAGTCAGCTCTTTGCGCAACTGCAACGACTGAAATCTCGTCCGAATACCCCTTCAATGGTATTTCCGTCATGGTATTCTCGTCCAACCTCTATTTTCCCTACTTTTGAAAAGCCATGTTTTCCTCGAAATCGAACTTTTTTGCTTTCTTCACAACCTATGAACTATTCCCAATCTAAACTTCTGCTCTCCGAACAAAAACGAGTACCTCAAGACTATCGTGAACTTTGCCTTTGAATAAGTGGTACTCTCCAAAGGAAGGAACTGAAGACTATCTGAGTGCTTCACGAGTGGATCAATGCACTCCCGAATTGAAGGCGAAGGTAATTGGCAGAGACAGGAAACCAGAGAAACAAGACGAACCGACGAACAAGAAAATGCCATGCTACATATGAAGTTCGTATATGCAGTAGCCCATGCATCCTACAAAGTCGTTCTTCAAAATCTTAGCTTGGAAGCTCCTTGGCGTCTTCCGTAGTTTAATAGCTTCAAGCCAGCCGAACTCCAATACTTCCCCACTAATTTGTGCAGCATAACCAAAGCCTCAACAGTCCTCGGCTCATTAGGAATCTCTACAATTGAATTTTCTCCTTTGTAATGTGAATTTTGATGGCTTTTACCCGGGTCCGGGAGCTTCTCCCTTGCCACGACGTCGCACACGCCGCACCCGCCGCGTATCGCAGGTATGCGATGGAAGATTGGAGCGCGCAACTTGTGAGGTAGGGAGTCCTCTAATTATTTGAATTGGTTGACCGCCTTCTTCAATTTCAATGCAGACTTGGTTGTCGCTTACATAGGAGGAGTCATTCTAACTAATCAAGTCTAATAAACATGAAAACGAAAAAGATACAGATGAAAAAACGGTCAAATCCAATAAAAAAGCAAGGCAATCAACGAAAAATATCGCGTCGTATCGATTGGCGGGGAGGCAGGGGGAGTACGGTAGTTGCAGTGACATTTGCCGCATGCCGCAAGGGAGAATGCCGCAATCGGGGAGAAGTTCCGTTACCCTTCAAAACCCTAATTGATGCAGAACGTCAGAGCAGACGGACTGCTATCACATCATTACAACACGCCAAATATTCTTGACCGTGCTCATATGGGCTATTAAGAAATATTGATGGGATTACTTGCTAATTGTTGAAAGTTCCGAGAACACGTTGGTGCGCAGCACCTTTGGAGCGACGAGAGCGAACCGGTTATAGACCAATCAAGTCGAATTCCTTTTCACAGTCGATTTACCCTCCGCCATCATAATCATTACGTGCCAATTCTCCGAAAAGGCACAACTTCAACCCAACCCATGCTCTAACCTATCATTGTCTACTCATGTTTTCCGACTTTTTGTTGGTGCCACTATCACTAATTTCATTTTGTAGAACCAGTACTGAGAGATGACTTATGAATAGCACGGAGGCATGACAACTTCTTTGTGTGCCAAAAATGAATAAACCTCTAACAGAAATAACAATCTCCTTCAAAACTCGTCATGCTTTTTTCTTTATCTAAAGTGGAAATAATTTTTCCCAACTCTTATATCTCCGTTTTTTTTTTGATAAAAATGCACTTTAGTGCAACATTGATGGCGTACATGACTTTGTATTTTCTCTGTCAAGTGACAGTGAAGAATGCCGATCAATTGAATTGTGTTTTAGCAGTGTTTTCCGGAACATACATAGTTCCATCGGTATTCTTCACACTGTTTTTTTTTTGGGCGCCGTGATTCAGCCTTTGTATTTTCTTCTTTGCTATAACTGGTAGCGTTATCCTGATAGGAGAGCGCTCTTCGGGAAGCCAGCTCTCAAACTAACTCTCAAAAACAGTCAAAGTATGGAGACCCAGCTGACTCCACAGCATTTAGTGAGCGCCGTTTTAAATATAAAAGGAGAGTTTCAGATGCTTGTTTTTTGTTTTTTGATGTTAACTTTCCTTCTTCCTTTCTGCTGCTATCATGTTGGTCAAATTGTCTGGACATCACCCTCGCACCAAATCCGATCTGTCACCATCTTTTCAGGATACTCAGGTTACTACAAACCGTAATCGATGCAATATGTGAACTTCAGAAAACAGTTTTCCTAATTGCTTTCTTTTTTTTCTCTATTTTCTTTTTTTCCTAGTCGGTGCTGCCTTCAATCACCATCGGTTGATATTTGTGAAAAGTCAACAAGAGCCCAATTACTGTGAGCCAGTTTGGAGAAAGCAAGATTTCCGACTTTACTCAGGTTTCAAGGTTCCGACAAGGAGAAAAATAGGAGCTTTGTGCGGTTGAAACTTATCAACTCAGTTGTCGATCACAAGCACATCTTAGACATCTGAGCGTCACCGCGATGGTATTAAAGGCATGGTTCACGATAAAAAAGGAATTTTCCCTTCAGGAATACTCAGCGCCCCTCATGGGTGGTAGAAGGGACCCTCTCGCTCCCACAATCTCGGCGCCTAGATCATAGTGGAAGCCCTGTTGCTGCCGTAATTGACTTTCCCGCCTCTCCATCATGTCACGTTAAACGAGTATCGACGCAATACAGATTATTATTGTTCTTTCTAAGACCCACACACAATCAGCTGACCGCCGAGTGGTGAGGCGATGTTTTCTCCCATTCTTTTTTTCTCTGCCGCGACCCCTTATTTAATTTGCTATCCCAAGGGGCTGAAAAAGGTGAGTTATTTTTGCTGTGACTAGGGTTTTTCTGTTTACTTATGCTTATAAGTTAATGAATTTTTGCCTACTGTAGTCAGTTATTTGCACCAGGACCCACACTTACGCAACCACGCACTGTGTGTAGCTCGTCCAAACACCCCACTCTTCTTCATTTTTCTGGTCTCATTCTCGTCCAGCCCCCTTTCTAACAGTTTTTCGAAGCCTTTTCCACTTTGGAAACACCTAATCACGCAGTTTCTTTGCCTTCATCGCACTATTTTCGATCCCGTGTTTCATTTTTCATCATAATCTGGATTACCCAAAATTATCGTGAACTGTGCCTTTAAGTGCAGGTAGTTGCTATTCGTACCGCCAGTATATTGGCTCCCTCTCTATCTCTTTTTCGTGCTTTTCGTTAACAACGCATCGTCATAGTAAACCGCCATTGTAAACACATCATGAATCACTAATACGTTAACTTGTACGACGGGGATAAGAATTTAGGTCAGTAACTTTTTTCGCCTAATCGTTTTGAGTTTTGCTCTGCCGTCCTAATCTTTCATTTCTCTGAAATATGGTGCCAGTATAAAGGAACAATGTAATTGTATAACTTTCGAGTTTGCTCTGCCTTGCTTTTATTTTATTCCTTCATATTTTTGGGTGTAAAGTTTATTGGAGCAAGAAGTTCTGGAAGTTGTATTTCCTCTTTGGTTCGGTCTTCTGGATCCAAAATTTATACAAATTAGTTTTACATGAAAGGGATCACAAGAAAGGCTGTGAACTGACTTTTCCCAACAAAACGGAGGGAAAACAGGTCTGCACCAACGATCACCCATAAAATCACATCGAAAGGGTCCATACCCCAAGCATGATGGTGAAGCACGGTAGTAACAGGTAGTAACTAACAGAATCTGAAATGAGATCTTTCAGATTCAAACGTGATCGTTGCGGTGAAGGGCTAGACTAAACTTCGTCAACAACCGCCACAGTTTTGTTTATCTTGTCGTATATTCATTACGCAATAGCTACTATGTACGTTTGAAGACACAACTCACGATAATTTTGGGAATTCCAGATTATAACGAAAAATGGAAGATAAGATGGAAAATACATAGTGCCATGGAGGCGAAGGAACTGCGTGAATCGGTGTTTTCAAAGTGAAAAAGGCTTCGAAAAATCGTTAAAAGGAGGCTGGACGAGAGTTGTGCCAGAAAAATGATGAAGAGTGGGGCATTTGGACGAGCTATATAATGTGGGTCATTGCGTACACGTGGATCCTGC